GGAGGGGAGAGGAGAGGAGAGGAGAGGAGAGGAGGGGAGAGGAGGGGAGAGGAGAGGAGAGGAGAGGAGGGAGGAGAGGAGAGGGGGGGGAGAGGAGAGAGGAGGAGAGGAGGGGAGAGAGAGGAGAGGAGAGAGGAGAGGAGAGAGGAGAGGCTGGAAACATGTGAATAACTTAATAACTAGAACATGAAGAGACTCCATTTTCTCCAACATTGGTAACACTTGTGGACACTTAGATTCCATTGTTTTCCAATTTCTGTAAAATACGTTATCAAAGCAATTTAACATGTATATATTTTGTAATGATTGATGTCATTGTAACTGTGTTGTTCTGCACTAAAGACATGTTGTAGTTCTCTCTACTTGTAGCCATGGTGGTTCTGTTTCCATAGAGATGCAGGACTTTTATATATTGCAGTGAAAATGAAGGCCACAGGGTGTATAATGTGACAGGAGCAATAAACAAACACCGCCCTGAAACTGTGAATGAAACGCTGTAAAGAGAGAAACACTGATCACGTGGCTCCACCTAGTGGTGGATGTGTGGAACGACACAAAGAGAGCAGTACGTTTAATTGCTGGTGTTTGGGTGAATAAAAGTATTTTCTTTGCTTGTCAATGCTCCTTCGTGTTATTTTACTTGTTGTGCTACTTTGTCCTTCTACTGCACCACATATCAGAGGCCAATGTAGTAGTTTTTACTTCCTTCTTCTTCTCCTCCTCCTTCCGCGTATTGTGCTATTTTTGTCCTAACCGAGGTGCCGTTTCCCTGTAAACAAGCGACACGTCGATTGGCGCCAGTTCTCTAAAACAACCCGCCTCCTCCATTTTCTCTGCGCCCATTGGTTGACCAGACAGGTCCGTCACATAGACCCGGAAGAAAACAACCATGTCGGTAATTCACCGAGAGTTTCTTCTCTGCGTCTGTTTCGTACGTTTTGAACCGGTTTCATCCTGTTTTTTAATGTAATGATCTTTATGAACAGACAGTTTACTAACTAGAGAGTTAGTAGTGGACATTTATTAAAGGTTCTATGAAGCGGAGGTTCGTCTGCAGCCGTTTAGCTCAAACGTTAGCCCGGAAGTAGAGACTCTACGCCCGTTGGGTTGACAGGATGTTTCTCTCTTTGTGTTGTATAAACATATTACATATTATATATGTTGTAGTTTACTTTTCACCAAACGGTTAACAACTCGAACCGGAACAGAGTTAATCAGCTGAAGGTAGACAGACTCTTTCTCCTTCTTCCTTCTTCCTTCCTCCTCCTTCCTTCCTCTTCCTTCCTTCCTCCTCCTTAGCCCCAGTTTGAAGCTTCAATGTAATGCTAAGCTAAAGTTAGCCTCATAGACAGACGGTGTTATATGAGGTCAGACATTCAATCAGCAGGTGGTGGGATGTAACTAAGTACATTTAAAGTTTTCTCCTGTCTCTCAGGCCGTCTGTAGATGAACCTCCTTCCTCCCTCCCCCTCCATCTGTAGATGAACCTGTGACCTCTGACCTCCGTTGAAGACATCATGGCGTCTCCCAGCAGCTCGTCTCTGCTCGGCTTCAAGCGTCTGTCTGTCCGTCTGGTGGACTGTCTGAAGACACCAGCCGACCCCGGACCTGCTGACCCCGGACCAGCTGTGAGGCCGGAGCCGGCAGGTGAGCGGAAACGTGACGTCACACAGGAGTTCATTTACCTGTATGTAGACAACAAACATCATCAGCCAGCTGTTCACTGTCACATGGGGGGGTGGGGGTGGGGGGTATTTCCTGCTCTCTGTTATCTGTATAAATATACTTTAGTTAACAACAGTACCCGTGTGTTTTAGTGCTGTTACTGGTGCTGAGGTGCTGCTTTCCTATACTAGACTTAACTGTGATGTGTTTACTTCCACACTGTGTTCATTTAAACGTGTGATGATTCAAGATTCACTGAAGAATTATTTTATTCATGTTCACTGAGTCACTTTAAAGGAAACAGACAAGAATCAGACACAGAGCTGAATGGATCCTCCGTATGTCAGACTCCTCCCTTCTCCTCCTTCCTTCTCCTTCTCCTTCCTCCTTCTCCTCTTCCTCCCTTGTCCTCCTCCTTCCTTCTTCTCCTCCTTCCTTCTCCTTATTCTCCTTTCTCCCTCCTTCTCCTCTTCCTCCCTTCTCCTTCTCTTCCTTCTCCTTCTCCTCTTCCTCCCTTCTCCTTCTTCTCCTTTCTCCCTCCTTCATCCCTCCTCCTCCTCCTTTCTCCTAATCCTCTTCTTCCTTCCTCCCTCCATATGAAGCCGTCAGTAGAACTTTGTGTCACACTTTATATTTTCTTCCTTTGACATCATCTCTTACATGTCGAGCTCTTTTTAAAACATCCCCAGCGTATGAATTGTGCTTCGTGAATCCTCTTTCCTTCCCTCAGGCTCCTCAGTCGACTCCTCTGCCCTCGCTCTGAGGGGTCTCTCCCTCCGCCTGGTGGACTGCATGACACTTCCAGGACTCAGGCAGCTGGTCCACGGGGCAGCGGAGCAGAGTCACGTCGGCATCAAGGTGGAGGTCAAGGAGGAGGTGGTCGACTACTTTGAGAACCCGGAGCTGGGCCGGTACGCGGACTGGTGCAAAAGCGACACCGGCGCGCCGATCAACCTGTTTAAAGTGGAAGTGGAGGACTCTGAAGACCCCGGCTGGGGGGGAACCAGAACCAAAGGAACAGATGAACTGCAGCAGAGTCGCGTGGCCTCAGAGGGGACCCTGTTAGTGTTCCAGGAGGACGGCGGCGGCGCCTCGGACCAGGTGGCGTGGCTCATACAGGACTACCAACTATCAGAGTCCCTCAGAGACGCCACGCTCGGGGATCCGGAGGAACGTCGGCAGGAAGCAGAATCACAAAACGTCTCCACACCGAAGGAACGGGAAGCTGAAGCTGTAGAAGCCTCCGAGCCGGGAGGTGGAGGTAAACGTTTCCAGTAGAAAATATTAAGTTTTCCAAGTTTAACTCTTCTCCGACCATCGAAAGATTGAAACACACATCCCGGCTCAGTGTTGTAGAAATGAGACATTTGAGCTTTGTGTTTCTTCCTTTTCCGTGTCTTGACTCGACCGATGATGACAAAGCAGCGGGGAACAAACAGGAAGCTGCATCCGAACGCCGACGTCTCCCCTGTGAGGATTGTGGGAAATCCTTCGCAAAGAGGAGCAACCTCACCAGACACCGGTCGCACCACTGCGGCGCCAAAAGAGGTACGATGAGTCAGGCGGAGCAGGAGACGTATTCATGCAACGATCGCAGATCCACTGTTAAATTTAACTGTGTGTCCTTTTTCCTTTCTCGCGACCGATGAAAAACAAAGCGGAGAAGAACCAGAAGGAAGCAGCATCCGAACGCCGACATCTCCCCTGCGAGGATTGTGGGAGATCCTTCTCGAAGAGGAGCCACCTCACCAGACACCAGCTGCACCACTGCGGCGCGGCGACATGTACAGCGAGCCAGCCAGAGTCGGAACAGGCGGAGCAGGAGACGTATTCGTGCAACGAGTGCGGCCTGACTTTCCGCACTGAGCGCCACTTGCGGCTGCATGTGCGCCGCGAGCACCACGACGGTAGAGAAACATCCGAGGAGGCTCCGCGAGAGAGACGGCACGCCTGCGAGCAGTGCGACAAGAGCTTCTACTTGCTGCACACCCTCCGGCAGCACCTCCTCACCCACACGGGGGAGAGGTGTCACAGCTGCGAGGTTTGCGGAAAGCAGTTCGGGAGGGAGGGCACTCTGAAGCTGCACCAGCTCACCCACACGGGGGAGAAAGCGTTCACATGCGAGCAGTGTGGCAAGAGCTGCGCCAGGAAGGGGGACCTCAAAATCCACATGCTCAGCCACTCCGAGGAGAGACCGCACGGATGCAGCCGCTGCGCCAAAAGCTTCAAGCACCTGGCGAAACTGAAGCAGCACGAGCGGGTTCACACGGGCGAGAAGCCGTACCAGTGCGAGCTGTGCCCGAAGCGTTTCAGGGTCCAGATGTCCCTGGCGGCGCACCTGTACACCCACTCGGGGGAGAAACCCTTCAAGTGCAACATGTGCCCCAAGGCCTTCAGCGGCAGGAACAACTTGAAGAAGCACAAGATGATACACACGGGAGAGAAACCGTACCGCTGCTCATACTGCGCCAAGGGCTGCCGGCTCCTGCAGCACCTGCTCGTCCACGAGCGCAGCCACACGGGCGAGAGGCCGTACACGTGCGACACCTGCGGGAAGGGTTACACCAACCACTCGGCTTTGAAAACGCACCGGTCCACGCACGAGGAGAAACCGCCGAGCCGGGACATCGCAGAGCCCGCGGTGCCGGCAGATCCCGAGAAGCCGGAGAAACCGCACCGCTGCTCCCAGTGCAGAAAGTCCTTCACCCAGGCCGTGAGCCTGAAGAAACACTGGCTGATCCACTCGGGGGAGAAACCGTATGACTGTAAAGAGTGCGGGAAGCAGTTCAACGACAAGAGCAACCTCGCCAAACACGCGCGCATCCACACGGGCGAGAAGCCCTTTAAGTGTGAACACTGTCAGAAGGGCTTCAGGCTGCTGCAGCACCTCTCGAGCCACCGACTCACACACAACAAGAAACAGTAGAGACTGTGGATCTCTGGTTCTGGTTCCCCCTGTCCACGTGCCCTCGGGCTAGACATTCAACCTCTTGGTCTAAAATCTAAATATGAAGCCACTACCAACAACAAAACAAAATCCACCAACAAACGCCTCTAAAACTCAAACGTCCAGCATACACTTTGTTTTTTTTGTATATTGAGATATAACGTGTTGGTATTAGTGAGGTGGGGTGCCTGCGCAACAGCACCCAACCCCGCAACAGCCTGTTTGGGGGTTCAGGGTTTGTTTAATCTTTTTGTTCTTGTGTAGAATCAAGTGACTCAATCAGTGAACCTTAAATTGGTGAGCTTCAGGTGCTGAGAGGCAGATTGGTTTGTTTTGGACAGAGCCATGCCAGCTCATCTTCTCCAGTCTTCATGCTGAGCAAATGGATCCAAACAATCAAACAACTAAAATAAACTGTATCTGTTAATATGGATCATCAATGAATTCATGTCTGTTTTGTCATTTCTCCTTTTGTTATATATTTTTCAGTACAGATTGACTCAAAACAATCGGGAGAGTTTAACTTGTTTTACGTTTTAGAAATTATGAACAAAAAGATGTTAAAAAGATTATTTCATTAAGTCTTTAGAACTCTACACGAAATGAATAATTTAACACCCAGAAAACTCTTTTTAGTGTTATGAATGTGTTTAATTAATGTTTGACATTATTGTCATCTACCTGCTGCTGATTGGCAAATGATGGAATATATATTTATGAAAATTATTCACGTTTCATCCTCATCTCTCTCCTCTCTGTGTTCACTTCCTGTAGTTCAGTCAGAGTGTCTCCTCCTTGTGGTCACATGACTGTTGGTCTCAGATGAATCAATCATGACGTCATAGTTTCACACTTTAATGTTTCTACACACTCTGGTTAAAGTGAACTCTTTATTAGAGGAGAGATTTATAATGAGAACATGAAGAATAAAATGTTTTGATGAAATATCACAATTTCTGACGTTTTCTAGTTTTTGTGGTTGTTTAAATAAAACATGCTTTTCAATCAATCTTTTGGTTTCAGTGATTCTTTGTTTGATTATTGCTTTCATAATGTTACGAATCATTTTTACTAACAGCAATAGTTTCCAAACTTTCTCCTTCAGGGACACATTTTATAGATATTTCACATTATCTTCAACTCATAACTCATAAACTCTTCAATCATCACAAACTGAACACAACAGCTGCAGGAAGTTTGTGTCAAACGAGCGATTTGGATTAATTTTCATCAGATTATTTCCTGTTATTTTTATGACCTTTTAATACAATTGCTTTCTTACAATCAAACTTTCTTAATCAGCTTCTTTCATTGACGCTCGTCCGTTCTTCTATCAGCTGTTTGGTCCTTTTAACTGTATTCTCTGAAGCAGGACTGTACCTGTACCTGTGTACCTGTACCTGTGTCACCATGTTTCTTCTTGTGTGTATTTATTTCGTTGTCTGAGAGGTTTCTGTCCTTACGACCTACACGTCATGTCACAGTAGCACACTCATCAGAATGCTTCGTAAACAAGTGAAGTAAAACGTCTCGTGTTTGTCGTCAGTGGCTCGTGATTGTTTTGTCACCGTTTGCTTTGAGGAAACATCAGATGCCAGTAAATGCTGCAGTGAGTGAGCTGTGTGTGAGGACACACAGTACAAATAAAACCGCCTCCGCATCGCTCCGCGTCGACTTTGACCTGATGAGTCACAGTTGGTCAGATTGAACTCAGGAGGCTTAAAATGAGGCGACGCCGGAGGAACATTCATCAGCCGGAGAACGACGAGAACGAAGATGCAGAGACTCAACCTCCTCGTGTGTGTCGGGGCGATATGTGCGGCTTCATCTCTGGTGAGTAACGTTTAAATACATCGAAACATTTTATGAATTACTCTCAGAAATCTGACGTCTCGTTGAAAAATGGGCTTTTTATTTCTTTATGATTTAAACTTTAATATTATGACCTGCTTTGTGTCACTTGATTTAATCGTTCAGCTGTTTTTAATAAATAAATTACTCGATAAATGAATTAATATGCCTTTAAATGTACCAGAAATACTATTGAAAATATAAATAGTCATTAATTAATCTATAATTTATTTACCTTTGTATTAATTCCCCAATTTATCTAATCTTCTATTTAATTTATTTATTTATTTTTGTTAAATTGTAAATGTATTTATTTTTAAATATATTTTTTATTTAATTAATTCATTTTTAAATGTATATTCATTTATGTATTCATTTTTTATCAGCAATATTATTCATAGTGATAATATTAAATATAGTAGTTTTAAAATGAAAGCTCAGATGATTAAATCATTTTATTTGTTTCATAATTTAATTTATTAGTGTATAAACGACCTGGTTCTTACTGTATCATAGATGCAATCAAATTCTATTTTTTATAAATATATTATTATATAATGTTGGTAACTTTGCACTCGTCAACTCAACATAAGTCTAACTATAATAGTGTTTAACTTATATTTATACACACATAACGCTGCATTTACCAGCAAGTAGGTTCATTTACGATGATCACGATGTTCATATACTGAGTCACAGCAGGTCAAATATCTATAAATATATATTAATGTATTTATTCACTGTTATTACTCCCAGAAACCTGCTGGTATTGAACCACTATGATTTAATGTGTTGTTCGCTAGATTTAAATAAATGTGAAAAAGCCCCAAAACCATAAATGAATTCATACTTATGATCCGTTTCTTTTGCTCACGGTGCTCCGACACTAAACTGAACTAAATTGAAGAAGAATCCTGAAATCAAAGTCTGTGTTGTGTTCGTCTGTTGGTCTGTTGGTCTCCAGGCCGTCCTGCTGGACCCCAGAGGAGCCCGACCGGTGGAGCAAGGCACCAGATCGGATAAATGTGCCCCTGAGAAGGAGTGGCCTTTCTGCACAGACGACCAATGGGTGAGCAGCTCCATCCAGATGTGATCCTCTGGGTCTCTGTTCTGCTTCCACCTGCAGCCCAAAATACTCATTATTAGAATATTCTTCAAAGCTTTACCTGAAGCTGCAGATGTCTTATCTTATTTTATTCTCATGTCTTCAGTGACTCAAAGGGATTTATTTACTTGACGTATGAAGTACTTTGCAAATAAATATTAATATTTTACAGAGAGATGTTTCTTGTGAACGTCCGGTTTGAACACGTTTCTATTCGGTTTATCCTTATTATCTTTATCTTAGCTTTTTATCACAAAATATTATATTTAATATACTTATTATTTGTATTCTCTCTTTCCATTTCCTTCTTTTTTAGTTTCAGATATTATAAATATATTTGTGTCATTCACCTTTAATGTTGGGTTGGTTCCTTTTAGAAGCTCTCTGGGTTTTATTTCTTTTCATCCCTCCTGATATTTTCTCCTCTCGTTCGTTGTACTTTATTTTATGCATCAATAACGGACTAAGCGCCCCCCCCCCCCCCCCCCCCCCCCCCC